AGTTGAAATTAAGCAAGTTTGTTTAATTAAAGTAGGTTGATTATAAGAGTATAAAATTGACAGAAATTTAAGCCATTATATGGGACATATTATTGTTGTTTGCCGGTTTAAAATGAACAATTCGTTATGTCAATAACATGTAAAATAAACCTTGCACGTCCCGCAAGCATTCACGCTATGATGATCTTGAAAGGTCATGTGTTTATGCTACTGCAGACACACATTAATATGTTTATTTCACCGGTGCACCATAATAAAGTTTGATTGGCGATCCGCCTATTAATACTCCGGCCTTAGGTGGGTTAGGAGAGGTAGGAAAAAATTGCTATTGTATGTGAACAAATCGGCCCACCACGCATTTTATTGTCTTTGTCAGAAGGCGCATCGATTATGTTAACAGTGTACACAATATTTGTATCCGATATGTTAATTTCGAAATAATTCGTCATTTGAAAAGATCTATAGAAACAAAAGAGCCACTCGTACTATCCCTCACACGCTTAGAGTTGTTGTATCATATGAAAAATTCCACATATTGTGTAATGATGATGTGACACAATACAATATCATTAATATCAACTTACTCTTGACACTTTATAAAAATTCATATAACCTTCATTCTTCCCTCTCTCCCGAAAGATGGACACTAGCACAAATACTAACCTCACCGCATCCACAGAATTCACCGAAACGAATTCACCTCCCCAAAATGCCAATGCCTCTTCCAAATCGACCGCAATTGCATCTCTCAAGCCAACCGCAGTGCTAGGAGTCACCACAAAGAAGATAAATCTACCAATATCAAAGCCAGTCTTAAAACTCGATGACGACGATTTCACAGAAGTGAATCAGACCGAAAAGAAAAATGAGGAGGAGAAACCAGTAAAAAGTACAGACAATAGTATTCAATGTGAGAGTGGATTAGGGGTATCTTCTTCCGCAGCAATAACGACAACAATCATATCAACGGTACAGAGCTCTTCAGAGTGTATACCGCAAGAGGCTGCAGAGCAGTCACCACCACTACAACAGCAACAACAACAAAATCCAGAAGAAAATAAACGGAAACGAAAACGAAGTCGATGGGATCAATGTGGGAGTAATGCTGCTCCCACATCAGTACCAACATCTTCATCAATTTCTTACAATGTCCCCACTACCGCAACGTCCACACCTCATGTTGCAGCTTATTCCTCGACTTCTTCCTCCACTGGACAATCACCAAATGCCCAGGTCGGGTCAAATAAAAGAAAATTTATCAAATATTCAGATACTTACAAACCAGGAATGGTCCGCGTCGGCTCTAAATGGGTCTATCCGGAAGACGAGATTACAGATGGTGGGACATGGGAACATAAAAAGCGTGCTGAGGAAATGAAAAGGACTGCTGGTACGTGATGTCTTGTCAGTGAATTGATCGTGATGCGCAAAAAATGGTGCTGAATTTCACTCGCTCGTAAAACCCTCAACTCTTTTATGCTCATGCGGCGGTTTCCCCTCTCATTCTTATAGAACAAGCAGCAATATTGACCCAACAAGCTGAAGTAAAACGAGCACATCACATAGCAGATTTCCTTCCCAAAGAAGAACTCGAAAAATTCGAGCAAAAGGTTAAAGCCGTTAAATCTGGCACTCCCGATCCTTTACACGAAGATTATGCACAAAATAAATTGGATCAGAATAATATCGGATTTAAGATGCTAATGAAACAAGGATGGCAGGCTGGGACGGGTTTGGGGAAAACAGGAGATGGTGTTGTCGCGCCTGTTAACAAGTAAGAGCGTGGATGGGATGGAGAGTGAGGGGGAAAAAGGAGAGGAAATGAAGGAGAAATGGGGATTTTCAGGGCATTATATGGGTTGGGAAGAGTTCTTTTGGAATTGGATGAGGCGTGATGAGGATCTGGTAGAGTGGAAGTGAAAGTGAAAGTTGTGAAATTTGGAATAAGCAAGTGCAAAGAGGCCTGATAGCGAATGGTTTCCCCCTCACAAGCCGTTCTTAATCACAATACATCGTAGCTTTCCATCAGTTATCAAATACCGATCCATACCATCCACACCTCACCCTATACTAACATATCTTCTTTCCAGGGCTGATTCTCGACCACAAGGCGCAGGTCTTGGTCAAGAGAAGCCAGATGGTGTTGCTGAAGAAGACGATGAATTTGAGATTTATCGTAAGCGAATGATGTTGGCGTATAGATATAGACCCAACCCTCTGGTATGTTTCTGATGTGTTGTTTAGAAGGGAAGAGAGAGGACGAAGAAGAGCTTTCTGTTGTTTGGGATGGTTGTTTTTATTCACGTCGAGGTAGTTGCGGGACAGTTTACGATATATATATGGACTGTGTATATACTATTACATTGTAACATATAGAATGTAGAATGCATTATAATTGTCAATTGAGCACGACTAACCTGTTGCCCTTCCTAGAACAATCCCCGTCGACCATATTATTGAATACATACTTTAGGGCCTTCTCTATCCTACGCCTCTGCGACAGCCTAACTCCACTCCTAACTCTTTATTTTATATAAATAAGAATTGTTTTTGTTTGGTGCCATTCTTTTGATTATTCCCAAGGGCGCTATTATTAGGCTTAGGAAGTAAGACACTGGACAAGAATGACGAAGAATATGAGAAGCAAGAAGCTATTGTAATAAAACTTTGTTGTTATATGGTGAAGTGCATGTGCTTTAATGAGGAAAGAGAAACTATTTATTAGGAACGAATAGGTGAGATGTTCGAAAGGGCATTAATAAAATTTCACTTATTCTGTGATCTTATACTTGAAAAAGACTCGCAAACTGTTCGACACCGATCAGGGCATTATTAGATTGGCTGTCTTACTACACTTTGAATATCCGACAGACATTGTCATCACCAGCGGTGACGATCGTCTTTCCATCTCTGCAATAATAAAACCATTAGCTCGCATTTTGCGTTCTTTGCGCGAACTTTCTCCAAACAGACACCCTCCCCAAACTCACTTTGATAGAGCAAATCCGAGTACACTATCCCGGTGGCCTTTCCACACTCTCTCAGGCTTCCCTGTCCGTGCATCCCACAGGCGTACAGTCCTGTCTGCACTGCTGCTGGTAAATAATGGAGAATCTGTGTGCCACTGAAGTTTTATAACGGCATCCTGGAAAAAAATCACGAGAAACAATATGAGGGAAATTGAATATTTGACGATTTTCCATCAGCGTTTAGCGCATTCTTACATCGTGTTCACATGTTTGTCGTAGTCGCATCGTCGTTACATCCCATATATTTATTTTATTATCTGTCGACCCGGTCGCTGCTAGTGGTAATCTGCACATTAAAAAAATGAGCATACACATAAAGAGAAACGGCATGTGCAGTATGTATGTATAGTTAAGGATGCAGGTACGTACGTGTCACAGAAACCAACAGTTTCTACAGATTCAGAATGGTTCTCAAATGACCCGAGTATCTAAATTGTTTTAAAGACGGCTGATGAGTAAAAATGCACAAGCATGTCACATAGTATGAAAAGTACTCACTGCTCCCGAGTTTAAATTTATTAAGCGTGCGGTACGATCTGTTGATCCTGTCATAATTAACGGATTGGTTTTATGCACTGCGAGACAGACTATGCCCTCACTATGATATCTAGCGTCTTCGCCTAAACAAACAGTTGACTACGCTTTAGTAAATCATAAAACTTGAAATAATCTAATGCCTTATTAATATATTAATTCAAAGTTACCCGATATTTTCAACGTTGGCGTAGCAACTTTCGGATCCCATACGATCAAAGACACATCCTCGGATGCACTAACAATCTTCTTTCCATCTGGTGTAAACTGCCCAGCTGTAACTGTTGCTGAATGGCCGGCAAAGACGTTCATACATTCACCAGATGGAACTTTTTCGAACCGATAGTGGAAGTCGATAAGTGAGCGTGTTTCTAATAATTAGCAGACAGAATATTGACTGACGATCGTACTTGACCACATCCACATTGTCGAATCCGATGCCCCAGCAACAAGAACATTTCCTTTCGGATGCCAGTCTATCCATTCCTAATGCACGCCACCAAATGAAAACGGAGAACGAGTAAGCCTCATAGCAAGAAACATCCCGTTTGCGTTTTGCTCGCCATCTGCAACTAGCCATCTTACAATTTCGCCATCAGGTCCTTCAAGTACGGCGATTTCGCTACCATCCTCTACTTTCCAAATTTTAACATTCCCATCCATGCCTGCAGTTGCCACGTATTGTCCGTCTGTACTGAATCGAACAGAAGTTACAGAGTCTGAGTGGCCTTTTTTACAAAGAACAAGAAAACAGAGTAAGTCGAGTGTTAAACGTTGTTGTGATAAGCGACTTGTCATGTTTATCAGTCATGTTTGTAAGTACCAGATAACTCAAACAATCGTTCTCCCGTATCTGATTGCCATATAAACGCCTTATCATCGCCTCCACCTGATGCAATTGTCGTTTCATTCACAGGATGCATATCAACTGAATATACAGGTCCTTTTAAAAAACAGTATTCAAATATTAATATCAATTTACACCACGATAGTTGTGACTTCATACACAACTCGGATAATAACCTCGATGTCCCACAAATGTTTGTACAGAATCTTCGACATCGCTTTCTGCGTCCATCGCTTCTAAAGATAAAAATAAATCTTATAACAAGCCGCCAATATTAAAGCTATCATGCACACCGCTTAATCCAGTATGATCAATCTCACCCCCACCCTCTTCGTCATCCGTCTCCATTTCTGACGATTGCAGTACATCAAGATTTATTTCTTCAACTATTTCATCCGTATCAATGAATTCAGCTTCCGATGGTTGCTAAGGAATTGAATGTGAGTGAAAAAAATACAGAGAACACGGAATTGGTCAACTGGGATTTGACGAAGGGTTACTTGGTCTGTCATTTTTGTCAAGTTTTTTGGGAATATGCCGACAATTTTCAATCTGAGGCGCAATTTATTTTAATGCCGTGCCACAGTTTTAAGCCACGGGTATTGAATAAAATGTGGCAAATTAATTTTTGGCATATTAATATACAATATAAATATGATTCGGAATAAAGACATACTTCCAACTTGGTCTTCCTATCAATGTACCGATAATAGTTATGATATTTAATCTGTACAGAATGTCCAAACTTACAATTTTGCAATGAATAGACATTCGTTCTAAAACAACCTGTTGACCCGGCAAAATATAATAGCATTATAGTTCTTTTGCTGACACCAAGCCTCACATGATATTAACCGTTCACTGTGATAATATTTATTGTTAAATAAGTCATGTAAAACGCGCATTGCAGACAATATTGTATAACGAATTGACTTATCCGATGTTGAAAATCTTTATTTCTGACAGATTATTGTTCACTTGCGTTGCTTAAAATGTATTGTTTTTTGATCATAGTGTTGCTCCTTTGTGTCTTGATGACAATATCCCTCAATCGGGCTTGAAATGTCTATTGAAAGATTTGTAATCAACTCCAAAATAAATATTAATATATTAACAAAGTTTATAATGTTAGATATCTTATAAAACCTGTTTTTGCATGCTCTTCAATGACAAGAAAATGTGTATTGTGTTTGGTATCCATAACAAGTCTGCAGGAGATTGTGGAATCTGGAAAGTTGCAAAATGATAAGCTACTTATGTGGGATATTAATTGCATAATAATAAATGTAACCTTTCCAGCCTGAGGATTAAAGTATTAGTATCTGATCAAATAAAAAAAAAAGTAAAAAAAAAAATAATAATAAAGGTAATTCTTTAAATAAAAGCTTACAAAATACTTGGATTCTAAATAACTTCAATTTCTAGGAAATATCATAATCACTGTCACCATGCTCAGTTAGGTTGAGAATGTGCTAATTTCTTCCGCGTAAGGATCTCTGGCGAGCAGAACGACTTTATGGTCAGCTTTGGTATGACCAGTCTGGGGCATTAGTTTTCTCGAAGTAACTACTGGCTGTTGCTTCTAAATGAATTTAATTAGGGGGTGTCCATTTACGCGATAATAACTTTTGCACTCAATCTGACTAATAAATGGTTGCAATTCTTGTCACTTAATTCCATAGCACCTTTATTCAACACATTAACATGACTAAATACATAATAAAAATAAATTATCAACTCAGAAACTCGTCTGATAATTTGGTGAATATCCGGGAACGATAAGACAGTGGAATCGAACAAATAAAGAAATGCTTTAATATTAATCAAAACCAAATTAATACTGTACAGTAATGCATTCAGAAACTATATTTCCATAATGACATTTAAACAGTCGCTCGTTTGGGAACTGAATTACAGTGAATTCTCCCTAAATGCACGCCTTGGGACCGTAAGTGTGAGAGCGTGCATTTAGGGAGAGTATGGCAGATTCACGTAATTCCGATACTTTATTCATTTATTGGTTAAAATATTGATTTATGCTTGTTTGTCGCATCGTATTAGCTTTTTTCTCTCTAATATAACTCTCGAGAATATTTGCCATTTTTATGTGTTTACTTGCATTTTCTTGTTGTAGTAAAAATGCTTGTACGGTTTCCAAGCCTTGTAATGCCGTACTGGCACTGATAGCTGCTATTTCAGTGCTGTCATCTACGTCTTCCAAACTATTACAGCTTTCTGCTACTACGAGCTCTGCCATCAGTTGATCGTAGCACTTCATAAACAATGTCTTCTTCAGGAATTGGCAAAAACTCTTTAACTTCCATTGACTCAGAAAGATGAAGTTTTTCAAAGACTTTACAAAGTTCATCAAATATAGCATTTTATTTTTATTAACGGTAAAATTTCAGTGCAATTCTCTAACTAACAATTAGTTATAACCAATTTTTATGACTATGACCACGATGGCATGCTTAAATAGGGCTAACTGTTACAATCGTAAATTATTACAGAATATGATGTTAAGATGTTCTGACTATTGGTGTCTAAATAAATACATTGACCTGATGTTACTGCAGAACTGTATTCTCAATGTATCGAATATAGCTTGTCACCAGAAAATAGTTCGCTTGCGTAAAGTGGAATGATTGTAGCACGGATTCTCTATTCGTTGTATCTTTATGACTTAGTCTTTAACTTCATTGGTGATGGCATTGACTGACTATACCATATTTAGCTGCTGGGTCACGTGCGTGCATTTACTTATTTTCATACAGCCGGGACCGCGAAATCTATTGCACGTGCAGAATATAGAGAGTGTGCATTTAGCATTAAGTCCCGAGGTTGGGACCATCAAATAGCGTGCATTAGGGAGACTGTGCATTTAGGGAGATTTCACTGCTCCGATTATGTAACTGAAAACGGTAATGTCACAACGAAGCAATCAGATTAGGTTACACACTGTTAAAGTCACAAAATCTTTATATTTAAAAATAATTTTCACTCGCCCCATCGCATAACTTTGTAATTCATCTTGTCCCGATAAACCCAACCACCCGTTTTCATATATTATATAATAAAAATAATTGTATTGCCAAGAGCTTACCAATATGAACGATTCTTTTGATTATTTATCTCTCTCGTATCATCTTGTGAACTCATCGAAATACTCTAACGAAAATCTTCAGCTTCTTGCTCGGCCTCCGTATAAAACTCATCTTCCTCCCATTGACTTAGTACACCCGGGTACTTAGTTGAGCAAATCAAATTACCGCAGAACTAAACCTCCACGACCCCCTCAAAACAGTTTCAAATCAAATGGCCGCGCAGATAGACCTCCACGACCCCCAAACAGTTGGAGTATACTCAATGATACCAAAGTCGATAGTTCAGGTGAGGGTATGAGAAAGTACTTTAATCTGTTGGCCAAACTTACCTCGCAGATTATAAAGATTTATATCCATTGCGTATCAAACATTACCATATACCAAATGGATGCGCAGGCTTTTGTCAATGAAGAAATTATGAGTGTTATAGTTGAATGGCACTCAACAGTAAATGAAACGTGCTCTAAACACACAGTAAGGTAATTCCATATTGATAATCCTGTATTGATAATGTACATGGTGCGAGGTTACCATATGATGAAATATGTGGAAATGTAAGCAGACCGATATTATTTATATCAATAGGAAATAAATTATATTTACAATATGTCGATAGTAAATAATGAACCAATGAACACAATACTCTAGTCAAACAATCATAAGTTGTGTATTCGTATCCCCGCGCGTGCTCCACTACTGTCAATATCGATGACTTTATATAAACGTGAATGGACGTTTTGGCGAGAATTGAGACTAAAATTGTACTGTTTATCTGTTTGCTTTCCCGATCGCTACCTTTGTAATTCTCGAGTCTAATTGGTTTGATTCAATAATAATAAAGTAATGCAGGACGGTATTATTATGCTTATATTCAAAGCTATCGCTGGCGTTTATTCAACCCGATAGTTTATTCCACTATTTTGTTTCGGTATTCTTACAACCAATTATTTGGATTGCAATCCTTCTTAACATCTGGACAAGAAACTGTTTAAGTAGACGTATTATATCAATATGTTGCGTTACCGAAAGAAGGACCATAGTATTTGTAATATTGTTGTATGTCAGATCAAAATAATAAAGACAATCAGGTAACCACATTATAAAAGTATTTTATTGATATTACAATATTAACGCTGTGTGCATACAAAACAGAACAACGTATCTATTAGCATTGCTGCATTGACAATTATGAGGGTGACAGTTTAAGCTGCGAATGCCAGCAACTTTTGCGACAAGCGTATCGAGCCGTTGAACAACTGGGTCTTACAATTACACGTAAATTTTGAACCAAGTTAGCGGTTTTATTAAACAATTGCAGTATACGATAGTAATTGTCTTTCTATTTGCAGGCAAATACAATTGTGAGTAAACATTACCTGTTATTGTAAAAGATAAAACCCATTGTAAATGTGCTTAGAGTTACTAAAAACTTTAGTAATGATGACTCTTTTATAGTAAAAGGCGAATATTAAATAGCGTAATAAATGTAAAATATGCTTTAAATTACAGAATACGTTAGCAATCCTTCTATTGGTGCAAGATGAGTAAATACCGATCATAATTGCGCCATTCGTACGAATACAAAATTTACTTGACTTATCCATCTGGGTAAGGTGGTGCTACTAGCCAACTTGTCAACCAAACTTGGGCTAAAATACGGACAAATTAACAAATCTGCAATTTCGATTTACTACCATTCATATTACTATAGAGGATTAATTTAAACGATAAAAAATGACAGAAAAGCATGTTATTGTGCGTTGTCTATCGCTTAATGAGCCATCAAGTAAGGTTACCTTAATTATAATTTGACGATTATTCTATGTCAACTTACGAATCAACATTTAAAATTATCAATAATATAGTATACGTACGCTTGCAAACTCTTCAATTACATCCACTAAGTAAATATTTTCGGCATTGGCAGTGTTCTGTGAGAATAAACATTACTTGTGTTTACTGTAAACGATTCTCTTTATGACAGTGATACATGTTCTAAAGTTATGTTTTACGTATGTGAATGCGGTCCTAGGATTAGATGGATTTTATATTGTGATATAACAACAACAAAGCGTTATAAAATATGTTTAACTGTCACAATCGACGGGCAGTAATTTGTTACGTGTACGCTTATTTTATCATGAGGTAGGATTCAAACAATATAATGTATGATATAATACGAGTAGTAATACCACAAGTTACTTGCACGTATACAGTTGACTCTGCTTATACCGAACTGACCGGCTGGAGAATTTTAGTTCGTTATAACCAGAGTTCGTTATAGACCAGAGCTTGTGTTATAATCGAATTTATTGATTAGGCAAAAACGGGTCTGGTGATTCTGGTTGGTATATCCAAAGTTTGGTATATCCAGGTTTGGTATAGGCAGAGTCAATTGTATAGATTATTTAATCTTTATACTAAAGCTTACAAACTTTAAAGTAGCATATTTTATAACAAACTCAGTCGTTTATACGCGTGTAGGGCTGATATCGTAATGCCATAAAATACTTTTATAATGTTGTTACCTAATTGCCTTTATTAATCTGACACACAGCAATATTTTTTCAATTCTCCTTACGGAAAGTATATACCACTTTTACTAACGTGCGTAAAATGAAACAATGCAGTACAAAAAACTGATTCACAACTTTTAATCAACGTTGGCAAGACATATTTAGCGTCTTATTTTCCCAAGTTGTTTTGTAGAATAAAACAATCTGCTGTTGGGAAAGTGATAGAAGAGATGGAAATTTGAAGGGCTCCAACAGACAATGTGGAACATTTGCCGGAAGGTTTGTGTCTATGAATATATGTACATTACTTCTTATTTTATGGATAAACTATCCATAACCAGTTATTCGGAAATCGGCGTAACAGACGAAGGAGAGTGGGAAAAGATTATTTATTTCTTATTGTTTTGAGTCATGTTCACTTATTCTCACCCTTGAAACGACAGAATTAAGTTAACAAAACGTCGAACCACTGTCATAATAAGCATTTTTAGACTTGAATCGAATATCCATGTACATTACAAATGATAAACTGGGGGGGGGGGGGTGAGATGTGCGTTACACAAAATAGTAATATCATTGGTGAATAGCCAGTAATACATTATAATAAGCGGTATATATGACTCGTTAAAAATAGAAAATGAACTTTTTTTTTGACTAACCACATACGGGTTATCATTGATATTTTATTATTCATCCGATATGCTTTATTTAGTAAGCGCAAACCCTAATGAAACGATCACACAGCGGCGCAGCCACAACTGGTAACACGGCGCCTGTAGTCACAACTTAAAGTTCCCCACCGTGTGAATTCGCCAAAAACTTTAACATATTACGTATATGTGTTTGAGCAGTATGCTGACGATGTTTGTTTTTATATAGTACAGCTAACTGACATTGTTTGGACGATAGATAGAGAAACTGAAAGTGAAGTAGACACATGGCTGTATTCCAAATTCCTAACCTATCCTTATTCCGTCATTATATTCCATTATCATTTGTTATCCTTATCTTGCTTCTAATCAGAACTAACTATATGTGTAACACCATGGAAAATTTGTTGCACTACGATTGGATCAACAGCTCGAACGTTTTTTACCGTAGATCTATCGGCATCTTTTCATAGGTCAACAGACGAACATAACTCTGCGAGTTGTACCTCTCTCGACACACCAAATACTCATGTGATGCCATGCAAGGTGTGCTTACATGTAGTACGAGCTATTCAAACAAAGAAACCAAGTGTTTACGTGTGTGACAAAGTTACGCCTTCTATCAAATATGAACAAACAAATGCCATTATTGATGATGGCCAGCTGGGCCACATTAAATTCGGAAATCACTATTGTATATCCGACGTTTATAATATATTTAAGAAGTCCTAATTTTTCTTGAATCATACACTTGTTGTTACATCCATCACAACATGAAGTTTTTTTGCTTTCATAACAAGAAAAAGTCAAAAAAAGCAAAAACTAAAGATGTGGCTCCTCCGCCCGTCTCCGAAGTAACAACAGTACCAGTAACGACAATCAACACTACGCCTACTCTCGTCGCTCTAACTGAATCAGAGAAACAAAATCTTACGAAAGAATATTCGAAACGGTTTACCGTCGAGGGCGAGTTGAAAAATGAAAATGAAGACAATGAAAGTGAACACACTCTTGTTTCCACGTCGCCATCTGTGCCCGATTTGGAGAAATTAGATCTTCCGGAAGAACGCTTGAAACGTTATGTTGACGAAGTCCAGGAGGACTATCTCGAAAAGGGAGAGAGAAACAAAGCTGCTGCATTACGTGAAAATGCCATATCCAAGACACTCAGTAAAATCAAACGCTCGATGGAAGTCGATTTTTGCTTTGTCTTGGACTGCACTGACTCTATGTTGGGACATATTGCTGCGGCTAAAGATTGCATCATGCAAGTGGTAAACTACGTCAAGATGACCAACCCTTGTATTAAACTTTCTATCGGCTTTGTCGGCTATCGTGATTTTTGCGATGGAAATAAACGTCTGGAGATTTTCAATTTTACCAATTCATACGAAAGCTTCAAAGCTAAATTGGCTGCCGTTCCAGCGACCGGTGGTGGTGACGCAGCAGAAGACGTCCTCGGTGGTCTAAATGCAGCCATAACTCGAATGAATTGGCGACAGGGTACTCGCATTCTTCTTCACCTTGGCGATTATCCGCCACATGGTAAACAGTATAATAAGCACATTCACAATGCGGCCGAGAACCGCAATTACGACAGTCATCCAAAGGGCGATCCAAACGGCCTGACAGCAGAGAGCGTCCTCGGTGAGATGCAGAAGGAAAACATTTTGTATTTCTTTGGCAAAATAACAGACGAAACAGACCTGATGGTTCAGATCTTCCAGAAAGTAATGGGAGAGTTTCCGGTATTCGATCTTGTTGGCGGAGATCCGATTGCGCTGGTCGATAAACTATACAAAGCCGCCTGTTCGGCGATTACCACCTCGATCACGCTGACTAGCAGTATAGGAAGCGATACCACCAAGACTATATATTCTTTGCGGCAGAAAAAACTCGAAATGAACCCGAACGAACCTGATTGGAGTACATCCTCATCGTATTCTGGAGTGATTTTGTGGTACCGTATACCTAAAACCCTGAACCAGCTAAAGGATCCCGAGTATTTCAACAAATCGAATCTCTTTTCCCGAAATTACAACTTTAAAATATCCAAAGACCCGTTTTCCGCTGGTGCCGAGAGATACGCATACTTTGGTCTTCAAACCGACAAGGAACCACATCGAAAAGTGGTGATGAAGGAATACCTTAGTATCGGTCAAACCAATCCCATTGAAAAATATCTCGAGGCGGTAGAAGTGTCTACTGTCGCTTATTACCTGTCTGCCAAATTTAATTTGGCGACGAAACGAATGGACGTTAAACGGGTATATTTCCTTGATGCAGAGCTTTTACGTTGTACCATTGATTTCAAGACGCAGTACTATACGGTAGAGCCAAGACTTGCAGGCGCACAATTTAAGCGATTCAATGTAAATAGTGGCGTCATTGTGGAACATCGTCCTACGCTAGAAGCATTCGCTCACTTTACATACGAGCATACTAAGAAATATTTAGTAGTTTATGACCTGCAAGGAATTGAACTTTCCGATCGGTTCTTCCTAACAGATCCAGCAATACATTGTGTTGACCCATTGAGATTCGGAAAGACAAACCTTGGTCATAAAGGAATCAATGACTGTTTTATGGCAAACCATAAATGTAACGAGGTCTGTAATATGTTAGGATTGAGCAAGTAAGTAAGGGTAGTGCTCGATCATTTGCATTTTTCACTAGATCAATGTGATTGTATAAATTTGTTGAATAAAATAAAGTTAAGCATGATTCTCATTAGCTTTTACGCTGAGTGCTAGAATATGTCACACTTGAAAGTTATGGTACGACACATTTTCATCGATGACATTATAAACGAATCTTGTAATAAAGTTAACACAACTCTAATTGGGTAACGTAATGTAAAAGTAATGCCTTTTACGTCAAACATCAACGCGTATTCGAAACGATACACTAGAATACTTTCAACGCTCCTAGTAGATATAATTGTGAGTAAGAGTTGAGTTTGTCGGTCGCTAAGAGAATGTAAATAGAACACATAGTAGTAGGCATCAACGATGAAACTCAAAGCAAAGGCTATTAATTATCTGATATCTCCGATAAATTAAATAGCTACTATTGCAACTTGCCGAGGTGAAATACAGTAGGAGTAACTTCAAATTCAATGAGGCATTTTCGATCGTATATTCATTCGTTTTAATCACCTTATTTTCTTGAATTATAGTGTCTGAATCACGAATGACCAGCGATGAATAATATTCCAAGTGACGATGAATAAGCATACATTGATTTTGAAATTGACTATAACCTGATAGAGTAAATTAAGTTCAAACACCAATTGCAACCTTGATATGTTAAAGCAAAAGGTTATCCTATCTCAATAGAATAGATGTGTTGTAGAACAACTTTAAATATTATAGTGCGGGGTTCATACATGTTAGGCTTCAGTCATATAATTATTGTATAAGATGGTGTTCCATTTATGAAAAATTTTATTAACGATGGAAATAATGTCGTAATGAGATCAGCAAAAATTTCTGGTCTCAATTTATTAATTAAAATAAGTTACCCAAAAAATCAAATAAACCATGTAATATGTAAATATTACCTTTAATCCGAAGATTCTTCGCTACAGAAAGTATTTTGTTAATCTAAAAATTAAAATTTTATCAGTGAAAACCGTACTGTACAGTATATATATAGCGACAATACACGTGACAAGACATCATTGGTGCGTGTTAAAATAATTGCCTGTGGGAGAGAAATGTGTACAGCGGTAATAGACGATGAAAATATCGATAATTCGCTGAATTTTATTGGTGATGAACATTGTCCAACTATACCATATTTGACGATCTGAGTCACGTGTGTGCATTTAGGGAGAGAGTGCATTTAGGGAGAGTGCATTTAGGGAGAGTTCACTGTATTAGTATTAGCAAGATCGACAATAGATAAACAGGTTACAAATCGAAAAAAAGATTGGAAACAATTCGTATTGGCGGACATACAGTATAATAATAATAGAAATAAGAAAACGACGGTAATAATAAAATAACGCCGTTCTGAAAATCAGACAATAATAATACACACAAATATTGTGAAATGATTATAAATCTTGATTTAAGTATGAGGCGCATTGAATGCCAAGAAAAGTTTAAAATAATATAAGCGTTTATTGAGACAAGGTTTATTTTTGAGCAAGGCAAGAAATAATAATAGAATTTATACTATGTTGTCTGACTTTTAATTACTTTACTCCTTTTTGAAGAAAAAAAAGGTGAAAGAAAATAGGAAATGTGGGAAAGGGGAAAAGTATTAAACGTAGCAAAGTTTGTAAAAGATGTTTTTTTGAGAGAAGCAGTTAGGCATAGAGTAATTTTTAATCTCATTTTGAAAAAGGAAAAGTATTTCATCGAAAGAAAAAGTATGCTTTAATTAACCAATAAAAGATTTGCCCCAGGAAATTTGAATCAGGAGATGATGGCAGAAATTTACTTAATGTTAATAATGTTAATCTTGTTTTTCGGATAATTTTTTTTTTTGTTTCTTTGGATACATATTAATTAAAATTTAGTTAAGTTACAATATGGAGAATTTTAATTGATAACAGAGCAATTAAGTAATTGTATGAACAATTTCGCAATCACTAAGCAGAAAAGCATTCTTATATTGAATTGAGACGTCTTCCTTTGCGCCGCTTTCGATCAAGTCATATAACAATAACATATATTGCTCAGTATAATGCACTAACCAACAAAGAGGATAATAATGGTTTAATTATAGATAAAAATAATATAATATTTATGTAAACACAATTAACATATACATTTACCAACGGAAGTTGTATGATCACTATATATTTCTTTAAGATATGAAAAATCGAGCTCTGTGAAATTTGGGGATAGGGATATATCGATCGGAATACTGGGGAACATTCGTCCAGCCTCAAAGCTGGGATACATACAAGGATGGGTTACAATAGAGGTTATTGTATGCGTAACGACCAGTGACGAAAAAACTTGCAATAGGAAATTTGGAAGTCAGTGTGTATTTGACAGAAAAAATTCGTATATACCCAAGACTGCCCGTATTTGCATGCATACAACTGTTGAATACACAAGTAAAGTTTCCAAGACACACTTTATTGACAACTACAGAATCCGCTAAAACGTAAATGTGCGACGTAACACAATAAAGCAGGCGAATGTACCCAATAAATCATAATGAAATTTATTGGTTCAGCTCTGTGTAACAATTTCTTGTCAATTAATCGAGTCCAATGGAGTGGAGTTGATCTATTTTCCCACTTGACAGTTTTTGTTCAAACCATGTCGTTAGTTCCTGAGATCAAAGATATGCATAATCCATCAATTGACAATTTGGTTCGAGCCTCTTGCGTAAATCTATATAATAAACTTGGATGGATTTCCCGTGAGGAAATTACCAACGTAAAGTCAAGTCAAGTTGACAATGTCTACTTGGCTATTCGTAAACATGAACAGTACTATGGTAAGGTACGGGAAACAATGATAATGCTGCTATGCCTTGGAAACAGCAAAGAATGTACACCAACACTTGTGAGTGAGTTTGCCAAAGTATACTCACTTCCGACACACAAGTACGATGATGACGCTCAGTTTATGAGATATTCGAAATGGCTTGTTAAACGCAACGAACTCATATATGGATTTACCAAGTATGATGATAACTATTACATGGTTGCTAAGAGACAGTTTTACCATTATTATTCTCGATATGGATTCTGCTCTTCATGTGGAATACTCCGATGTAGTCCAATGTGGTGTATTTGTGGACACAAAAAAGTATCTGATGGATGGACTAGCAATAATAAGCGGCTAGATGAGTTTATTAAGAAATCTCAATTACAAACAAACTCTGCAAATCAAGCCTATCTGGAATGGGTTCCGTTTGATTGCATTGAGGATAGGCGTTCGGACCATGGATACTTACGTGGCCTATTTATTGGTGAGCGTGATGCAATTGTTACGTTGATTCCGCTTGAAATAACAGATGAGACGGATGATTTATATTATGACAAGGTGAGCTATCTGTATAAAGCATGAGTATTTTGTTGTTTAGATAATATTGACTTATATATATATAAACCCTCTAGTTATGTGATAAGCATCCAGATATTCTTACCACGGATGTTTGGATTACCATCGGGTTTACATATAATACACGTGAACAAAAGTATTATTTAATAAAAAATTTTATAGAGCGCAAAATATGTCTGGCGTGCACACAACAATTAGAACCTAAGATAAATGCATTCTGTTATAAATGTAAAAAACCAGCACCTCCTTATTGGACTACAGGCAACAAGTCTTTGGATTCATTCATTATGGAGTCATGGAGTAATGTGAAGAATAAGTATGATGCACACATACAATGGATAGAGTATTCTTTGTTGACAGACGTACAACAGATACCCTCATTACACCATGGATGCACACATATAGCATACTGGTTAGATCCAGTAATGAATAAATGGACAAGAAACAAATTGACGCAAGTGACACTCAAACAGATAAGTGACAGAAATGTTCAGTCACTTGACTTTCACCAGGTAAATTATTCATGTGTAAAATAGTATCAAGGTATGCATTGCATTGATTAATATTGTTACTTTAAAAAAGCTAACTCAGGAATACCCACAAATATTAACCCCCGAGAATATTTGGATTATCGGAATTACCCAAGAGCCATCTACTCAAGCATATTACTTAGTTTTCTACCATAAAATACATGAAATATTGGATAAATATGCGCAGACTAATGAACATGTACAGGTTATGCAGTTTGCCGACTTTTGTGAAATTAAAGAGATCGGATCTGGTGGTTATGGAACAGTATATACTGCCAAATGGAAAGGCAATTCATATCAACATTCAAGAACTGTTGTACTAAAACGTTTTAAGAGTTTTGATAAAATGGCAGAAGTATTTATTTCCGAGGTAGGCATCCGCTTTTTACGTAATATTTGGCGTGACTCTGTATTTATTATTCTTATATTTATTTTAGTTCAGAAATCATGCCAAGTGCTTGAGTAAAGAGTATCGTTATTTCCTTGATATTTATGGAGTAACGCAGGACCTAGAAACAAACGAATACATGATTGTTATGCAATATGCTAACAATGGCAGTCTTTTGTCTTACTTGGACCAAAACATTAACAACTTGACGTGGTACATGAAATTACACCGTTTGTATACTATAGTATATTATTTGGATAACATCCATAGCAAAGGATTGGTACATTGTGATCTTCATGGCGGAAACATTGTTTTGCATGAAGACAATGAAAAATATACTCATGCACTCATATGCGATTTGGGTTTATCTCAATCGGTGAATTCGCGCGAACCAAATTCAACCATTCGAGGTGTGTTACCCTTTATTGCACCAGAACTCTATCATACTCGTAGATTTACGAAGAAATCAGACATTTACTCTTTTGGAATTATTATGTACTTAATTGCCACGGGAGAACCACCGTTTCGAGATAGAGAATTCGATGAAAGTTTAATATGCGATATTATGAACGGACTACGGCCAACGATGCCCGACTCGGCACCAAAAGAATACAAGAGACTTGCAGAGCAGTGTTGTGATGCTGACCCAGATAAACGTCCAGATGCATATACGCTTTGGAATGATATTT